CTTTTTTGTTTTCCTTCCAGTTTTGATTTTGTGGTTGTTTTGAATAGGTACATGTATTAAACACTGATCGTTGGAATGTTACTGACTTCAAGCTGCAAATTAATATTAAAGTAGTGTGAATTAAACAAGGTGGAAGCATACAAGATCATTTATAGTAAAGAGTGAAGAAACTGGAACTACCTATAGGTTTATGGTCTGGGGAAAATACTTGACATAATGGGGATGGTGGACAAGTGGTCATGGAAAATTATTCAAACTGATTGCTTCTGTGTGCAGTGATGAGAGATGTCTTCATTAAATATTTTTTAAAATAATTTAATAAATACCACCATTCTTTTCTACACTGAAATTAAACATTTAATGGAGTAGTGCTGTGATATCTGTAGAATTAATGAGCTCAAAAAGAAGTCTGTGTGGTACGGGAATATAAATATGCAATCAGTTAAATTGAAAATATTTTGCGCCATATTAAACCTTAATAGATGTAGTACTTGCTACTAGTATAAAGAATTAGAAATACTGAAAAAGGTGACTGTTTAGCGTAAGTAAAGTACACACTATAAAAATGTTTTTAGGAATAATTGTGTGCATGTATGGTTAATTCATAATCATTTGAGATCCGAAAATTTTAAAAAAAGTAGTTTGGTTTTTTTAATTAGCATTCTAGCCTTCATAATACTGCTGTTGTACCTCAAAGCCTGAATTGAGTATTGTTCAGTTGTTTGGCATATTGTCTAGATGGCAGTAGAGCTTTAACTTGGGTTGTTGGCTATATCTGAAACAAGTGGGTTACAGTCCTGTCAGCAAAGTATCTACTGAAGTTCACAGTCTTGTATCTTAACGTAAAGCTAACATAAATCCAGCCTTGACTTTTTTTGGGCTGCAAACTGGTGTTCTTGAGTATCTTCACCTGAAATTCCACTCTCGTTGCTGCATCATTGGCAGTCTCCAGAAGATTTCAACTATCCAAATGAACCTCGTGGTGTTAACAATTGCGCAAACTCGGTATTTAACAGCAGGGGTGATGCAGAATGGTCCTTTTGCTCTTAGGAGGGTTCCATCCCTACAGTCTGTGCCATGGATGTGTGTGCCTATGCCTCAGTTGCTTCTGCCCAATGTAGCACCCATTGCGAGCAGTGTTAACCACTGATGTCCACAACAAAGTAGCTGAGGCAGACATCATTTCTAGTGGACTTTCCATGATGGGCAGCAACCACCATCACCAAAAATGGAATGGAAGGCTGATGAGAGCTTTAAAATCAAACCATTAATTTCACTGAAGCTACTCTACTGGTGCCTGCTACCCCTGTGGCTTGTTTTTTTATCTCACAATTTGGGTATACTCTATTTTAGCTGAAGCTCCATGAAGTGCTTTTAGTTGGTTGTAAGTCAGCTGTCCAAAGAAATTGTTCACTTCGTTGGATCATTATCAAACTGTAAACGATTTTTAATGTCTGAATAGATGAAATGGATTCACTCCCACATCATGCTTAATTTTTTATTGAAATCATTCACAGAGAGGTACAAACTATTTTTGTTAACATTGGTGACGCTGGGGGTTGGGGGGAAGAAGTTTATGTTGGTTAAAATTTCAGCAGAAAAAAATTAGCTATACTTGGCTTTCTCACAGATCGTTTGGGAAGGTGAATGTACCTTGGGCATTATTTGATGCTAATGATAGAATGAATGTATGCCTTAATGTAGTCTTTAAAATATTTCTGCTTGTACGTATGAGTTTTCTTCATAACATAGTGTTGCCCCATGATAACCCTTGTTCCTCTGTCCTGTCTGGTGACTATTTTGGGGTGAGGGAGTGTCCTTCCTTCACCTGATTTTTCATTTTCTGTTAGAATCTAAACTATAAAGTAACTTTCTCCTCCTCTTTGCATACCACTTCTTGAGGTTCACTTCTGTCTCTCCCTCTCTGTCTTCTCAGGCTTCACATTTTATGGTCTAGAGGTAAAACTTTCCTAGTAAAAGACAGTTGAGAATTTGGCTGCTGCTTTTCCTGAGCAATGCTGATGAAGAAGCCAACCCCTCATTTTTACAAGTTGGAAGGGCTTGGGATTCCCATCAGAATGGGAATCACTGCTGCCTGTGCTTGCAGAAACAATAATCATGCTTGTTGGCTTGTTTTCATGTCATCTTGATTGACTTGGAAATTCTTGGTTGCAGTCGTAGGGATGGGAAGGAGCATCCTCTGTCCCCTTAATCTTTGTCTGTCCTACCAGAAAAAGTCAGTCTCTAGTTTTGCTAATGATCACAGCCAGATAAACCTGCCCTTTGAAGTTGCAGAGTTCTGTGAAAGCTGTCCCTTGCTAGAGTTTTATATCCCCTACAGTTGTTTTTTGGTTTGGTTTGGTTTTTTTATATATATATATATAATGGTTACAAGTAGAAAACTGAAAGTGTCAGTAAACTGTGATGCTGCTAATCTGAAAAGTCTGAGGCTATTCATCATCCTTAATCTTGCCAACAGAAGTTCTAGGTGTTCCTAGGGTTGTGATTGCAGGATTTCTCATCTCTGGCAGTGAAGGAAGGCTGATGCACCTGTCCTGTTATCTTATTTTTCTGTCTTCCTGTAGCCTGCTTTTTTTTTTTTGTCTTTCCCCACACTAGTAATCGATTTAGTTAGGATGGGTGCATTTTTCACATCTTTCTAGGATCAAAGCAGAGGTACTATATTTGGTCAGGAAATTACAATAAAAATTGAGTTTTTAGCCAGAGAAAACTGGAAAAATATAAATATCAAAAGACTGGTAAAGGGAGAAAGGCCAGCCAGAAAGTAAATTACAGCTTTGAATAATTGCTGTTTAAAGCTGCTGAATAGTAATCATTCAGTACAATTACCAATTCTTTTCGGCTATGAGCCACAATTACTTGAATAGAATAAACTAATGTAGCACAATTTATAGATTACTTCTAAAAGCAGCCTTAAAGTTTTGGATCCTCGTTACAACCTTCCTAGATAAAAGCAGAGTGAGATTAACCTGATTTTTGAATGTTCCCACGCTACGCAACTCTCTTGTTTGGCTCATGTACAAGTAGGACTGAAGGTTGTTACTTCTGAAATGTGGCTGTAGAGATCAAAAGTGAGTATATGAGTTCTGAACCAATTCTGGAACCATCTGATGGACCTACAATAGCCAGAGAAAAAAGGGATTGGAAAAGTACAAAACAGCATAATAATCTTGTACTCTCCCTCACACTTCATTTGTACATGCATGCACTACTTTCCCCTGTCTCCTTCCCACCTGCCAAATAGGCTTTTATCCCTCATATCTTGGTTAAACCACATAGGGTAAGTATGTTGTTGAGTCCTAAAGGTTAAGGTCTTTTTTTAACCATCATAGTATACATCTGAGTTTGAGAATACACTGAAGCTTCTTTCTTTCAGAACTTCTGTCAACTTTAAGGCATAAGAGAAGTATTTGGACTAACTAATACGCAATTCAAAAGTGGTATTTATTGGTTGAAATCCTTTCTTGAAAAATATCTGAGGCCTGGGTTCTTAACCCAAAAGCAAAATGAGATCTAATTTACTTAGGCTGGAATTTAACCAGTTACAAATGTAAAACTATTCCTATCAAGTCAATTCTTAGCATGAATGCACTTTATTCGTGAGAACTGGCCTGGAGAAACACATTTTATAGTCACATTTTGATGAATTTGTTACTTATGAAAAGCAAGTTAGGACATTCTTAAGGAAAGAAAATTTGAGTTCACGTTCTTGAAAAGCAGGTGGTACCAAACAAGACTTCTTTTATTGTCCTTCAGCTTCAAGAAACACCTGCTAAAACTTACAAATAAAGTAGAATACATTTTGAGGTTGAATGCCTCTTTCATGGTGTAAGTCAGTTAGCATACAGGAAGAATCATGTTGTCTTTTAAATACTGGGAAGATTTACAAATACTATTTCCTTTGAGCTACTGAAATGCATGTTTTATATTTCAGATGACTTAGAAAAATCTTCTTGTTGGCAGACTCTAAATACTTAAGGCAACTGTGCGCTTAAGAAATATATAAAGGAAAGCTGAAGCATGTTGTTTATAACACAGCCTGTATTCCAGACCTAAAAAATAATTCAGAAAGGAGTGTGTTCTGCTTTAGAGTGCAGATATGCAACTCTTCAGGGTTCAGAGATTAATGATAAATAAAAGGACCGGTTAAGTTAAAACCACCTTTTCCAGTGTTTTATTAATAATAATCCTGCTACAAATGTGCATTAGAACTCATAATGACGCTCACCAGATGTCTTTTTGCTGATCAGAAAAGAAAATGCTAACTCAAAAATCTTTTGCAATAAAAGCTACATGTAAAATAAAACAGACACAAAGAGCACAGAAGAAAAATTGCATTGTGAAGGAAGGGGAACAATTAACTTGAAAAATGTACAACTGAAAATTAAGACATAGTTTGGCTAAGTTTTCTGCTTGCTAGCTGTAATTAAGGAGGATTGCTTGTCTTACTGAAGCAATAAAACAAAATGCTTAGCAAATGACCTCTAACTTGCAAAAATATGCAGCTTGGAATGTAAATTAAATGATACTATAGAAGAAATTAAATTTATTCCAATTCCTACCTTTTGTATTCATCTTTTTGCATTCTTGAGTCTTTGAATCACTTTGAAGCACACTGACAGAACATATGCTCAGAATAATCACTGTACCATCTTGCATACTATATGCTATAGCATAAATGCTACAATTCAAAAGCTGGCTTTGCAGGGTAGTGTCAGGACAGGCTGCAGGTTTTTCCAATTTGTGTGGATCCAGTATTTTCATTTCCCTGTAGGTAAGGTATTAAGGAACTGTTACCAAACATTTCTGCTCTGAAGCTGAAGCAGCTGTAGGATCTCAAGCTGCTCTGGCCTTTGTTTATAGTAATGTTTTTTTTAAGGCAGGTTTGGCAAAAGTAGTGCTCTGATTAGTAATACTTCCATGACATTTCATTTATAAAAAGCTGTAAAGAAGCGTATATTTCTGTGCATTCTAAACAGACACATCAGGATCTGGCTTTGGAGCTAGCAGGGCCCCAAGAACCTAGTGCAATTCTTTTGTGTGGATTTAACTCCAGACTCTTAGGCAAAGAGCTTCATTCTGATGGCAATGAGACCTGGCTTCTGATACTAGAGGAGAACATCATGACCATGCTGAAGCATGCCTATTTCACGTTGGTAGGTTTTTCAGCCCAGAAAGGTTGTTGGACAGAGAAGAGTAAAAACTTGCTCTTAAGCCATATTTTGTGCCTTCCCAGGCTGTCACATCTTATGATCCTTTAATGTTCAAGAGTTTTTGTAAATCCAACAAAGTTTATTAAGACAGTATGATGTATTCAGACAAAACTAATGCTAGAGGCAAAGTAGGCCCACTGCTGAATGAGGTGGGTACCCTGGTGACAGAGGATACTAAGAAGGTGGAATTACTGAATGCCTTCTTTGCCTCTGTCTACACTGCTGGAGACTGTCCTCAGGAGGCCCAGAGCCCTGACGCCCCAGAGGAAGTCAGGATAAAAGAGGAGTTTGACTTGGTTGGTTGATGAAGACTGGTGTAGGGCTAAGTTAAGCAATCCGGTCATCCATAAATCCATGGGCCCTGGTGGGAAGCACCCACGGGTGCTGAGGAAGCTGGCAGGAGTCATTGCTAGACCACTCTCCATCATCTTTGGTAAGTCGTGGGCAACAGGAGAGGTGCCCGAGGACTGGAGGAAAGCAAATGTCACTCCAGTCTTCGAAAAGAGCAAGAAGGAGGACCCAACTACAGACTGGTCAGCCTCACCTCCATCCCTGGAAAGGTGACAACAGCTTATCCTTGGTGCTGTCTCCAGACGTATCAAGGATAAGAGGGTCATTAGGAGCGTTCAGCATGGTTTCACCAAGGGGAAGTTATGTTTAACCAACCTGGTAGCCTTTTATGAGGACCTAACCAGGTGGATAGATGATGGTAGGGCAGTGGATGTGGTCTATCTTGATTTCAGTAAAGCATTTGACACCATCTCCCACAGCATCCTCGCAGCTAAACTGAGGAAGTGTGGTCTAGATGATTGGGTAGTGAGATGGATTGTGAATTGGTTGAAGGAAAGAAGTCAGAGAGTTGTGGTCAATGGGACAGAGTCCAGCTGGAGGCCTGTATCTAGTGGAATTCCCCAGGGGTCGATACTGGGACCAGTACTATTCAATATATTCATCAGCGACCTGGACAAGGGAACAGAGTGCACTGTCAGCAAGTTTGCTGGTGACACAAAACTGGGACGAGTGGCTGCTATTCAGCGAAACCTAGACAGGCTGGAGAATTAGGTGGGGAAAAATTTAATGAAACTCAACAAGGACAAGTGAGAGTCTTGCATCTGGGAAAGAACAGCCTTATGTACCAGTATAGGTTGGGGTCTGACCTGT